TACCAGGTTGGGTGATGCTAAATTATGAATTTATGAGGGGAACTAGAGACCATTAAGGAGCATCAAGTAACACAGTGGGAATTAGGCTAGGGTTCAGGGAACCTCGAAAGAAGTTTGCTGCTTGATCATTTAAAGCCTTTTTGACTGCTATGTACTCAGGCAATCTCAACTATGCAAACATATAAGAATAGTACACATGGGTTAGACGTCTAAGCCAACATCCAGTGGGCAAAACAGATCTCAAAGACCAATACACAGGACACATCAAAGTCACAGCAGATTAACTCTTGTTACAGCTTTTCTTTCGTGACAGCAGGAAGCACTGAACGGACATTGGCAAGGCAAACACACCACAACAACACTTTTCAGAAAATTCCCTGCACACTCACTATGGCTAAATTTTAAGTACAGGAAGATTTGAGCTCAAGATGGCTCCTTAACTTAAGCATGTTAGCGTAGAGAGCGGAGCCATATATCTCCTTCTGAGCCCCCTTCACTGCAAGCTTTTATATTGCTGGACATACCCATCAGTAACTTTTTTGTTTGCTAAGATTCAGGTTGCTTAAAAGCAAGCAGCACTGACTTATGTAGGACTTATTTCTGCATATGCAAATACAGGATCAGTCTTCATAGCTGTGATCCTGCACTGGTATGTGCAGGTCATTTCCAGTGAAATCAGTGCTACTTACAAGTAGCAGATGCATATAGCCTAGAAGTGTAAGCTACCCATCAAGAAGGAAAAGAGACAGATATAAATTTAGCTATCTTTAATGGAAACCAACAGGGCTTTTGGTGCTTCCAGGCTGATGACTCCACTGATCAAAAGGCATTGTGCTGCTATTCCATCTTTCCCACCTTAACAGATTGCATGACTTGCTGCAAGAAAAAAAGGGGGAAGGGGAGACAGAAGGAGCAGTAGGAAAACAAGGGAGGGTTACAAATGGAAGGTATCATCATCTGGACCCCCTGTAAAATTTCCTGACTGAGGCACGGCAAGGCGACTGCACAATAAAAAGTCTTGTCTGGAAGTACTTCGAATGCATTATTTCCGATGCTGCCAGGTTAGGTTTTGTTTCTTATTCTGTAATTATGTTTGTACAGAAAGTTGTTTGAAAGAAGCATAAGTATTTTGAATGTCATTTCCCAAGAAACTCAAAATGCCAGAAGTCCATCCACAGATTCAAATATACTGCCTAGATAAGCCAGCTGGCCAATTCTGACAACAAACATTTCCATGCAAGAGGACCACTGAAATCTCCTTCACAAATCCCAGATTTCTTGAACTTTTTTCTATTTGCTGATATACATCTAGATATCAGCCAAATTCTCTATCTTAAGAGAAATTTGAGTATAGAAGTCAGAGAAAAGGAGAAGCAAAGGTTTCAGCTATTTAGAGAACAGTAGTAAACTTTCATTTTAAAGTGTGTACCAGCTTAATATTTATGCACTTGAGCATCCAGTCAAATATTAACTACCCTTAATGCAAGCTTTGTGGACTTTGAATAACTTTCACCCTAACATTCTTGTGCTGCACTGGACAACTTGCATACACACAATCATAACACGCCAAATACCCAAACTTAGATTTATAAGACTGAAAAGCTTGCTATTTCCCACAATCCAAAACAAAGGATCATCACATCTTATACAGTATTAAATACCTGGACGTTTGGGGAATTTTTTGTGCAAATTGGGGGGGGGGGAGGCGTTTGTTACTAGCAAGGAAGGTTTCTCTGGCATGTCAAAAAGTTTCAGTTTGCTTAAACAACCATGAATCACGATGTAGTAACTCCATCTGCCAAAAAAAAAGAAAAAGAAAAGAAAAAGAAAGGGAAAAAAAAAGGAAAGGGAAAGGAATGGCGCCACAACAGCATTATTGCAAAATGAATGAAAAGCAGGCTAACAGGAGTCGTGCAGGGTTTTTTGCTGTAAATGCTGCTGGCAGGAACCCTCGAAGACAGTGGAGTGTCAGCTCTTCTCTCTCCAAGCTGGTCACATTAATCCACATGGGGCCAGAGGATTGCAAGAGCCCAAGCTACCTCGCTACATAGTGGTCAACCCTTATCTCATTAGCTGTGCTTGGAGCTTTATTTTTTAAAGGTGGGAGTACAAAACACCTGCAAAAGTCAGCACCTGGCGCTTGAGCCTCGTAGTGGGCACTGATGAAGAAACCTGGACAACCCCTGTCAAGTTAGACTCGTTAGGTTCAAAGAAGGCACGAATCTGCTGAAACCACTCACTTAGCAAAGTATTATGTTGGATCACGACTGCGGGTGGGGAGGGGGACAACAGAAAGCCATCAACTCCAGAGAAAGGGGAGAGAAATGCGTGGCGAATGGGCGCACCGGCCCCAGCTGCGCGCTCAAGACCCCTTACCGGACTCCGGGCGGCGCGCTCTTCCCTCTCGCAGGGCGCAAAGGAAGGGGTCGCTGCTGGGGGCAAGGAACTCCGCCGCTTGCTCGCTGGGTGCCGCCGCCGCTCCTTCGCAGTGGCAGCAGCTCCGCTTCAACGCTGGCGAGGGTGCAAAGTGAGGGAGAGCGGGAAGGGCGGGAAGCAGCCCAAGAGGAAACGAGCTGCAGAGTCACACAGGCAAGGGAGGGGGAGGAAGGAGAAGAAGAGAAAAGAGGCGCGGCGGGGGGAGACAGAGAGAGAGAGACAGAGAGAGTGTGTGAGAAGTTTCCAGCCGGCCAGCGCCAAGCTTCCTCAGGCGACCCTCAATGGGTTATGCGCCCTGCTCCATAGCGCGTACAGCAACCGCAAACGCTATGACCCGAGCCCGCAAGGAACGCTTGGAGTAGCACTGCCTCCGCTCCGGTTTGCGCCCACAGCGGAAAGAAGCGGCGCGCAACCCGCCGCGAGCGCATATTGGATTAAAGCGCGGACCAAGCCCACCGCCGCAGGGGTGGCCCGCCCGCCCAGGGACAGGGCTCGGGGCACGGCGCCGCCGCTCCACTCCAGCCCCTTTCCTCACCTGCCCTTCGCGAAGGCGGGCGGTGGGACTAGAGAATGCGCCTCCCTCCACCGACTGCTTTGGCTTGGAGGGATTTGGCGCCTCCCGCTGCAGTGCCGCACTTGGTATCGCCCTCCACACACCCCGCACACGCTACACACGCTGCCAAGCCCAGGCTGGGGCGGCAGGAAGTTACGAGGAAGTCCTGAGAAAGCAAAGTGACCCGCGACCACGGCCGGGGTGGCTGGAGAAGGCTCGCTGGCTGAACGTGCGAGTGCGGCCGGGCACCCTGGAATCGCCCTTTCCGACGATCGTGCAGGCGCAGGGGCTTTGCCGCTCCGTTGTAGCTCTGGAAAGAATCGCCCCACCTACGTTACTTATGGTTGCTGGGTGCCCGGCTCCGTGCTTCTTTCATGAGCACATGTCTTCGCCTTCTCGTGCTACGGCCACTGCAATTGCCAGGTAGCGTTTTGTAGGCAAACTTTGGGTGCGGTGGCCCTCAGCCATTTCCAATGCAGAACCGACCCCACGCACAATCTGCAACACGGGAAGTCGTTTTCATGCTATGTTTCCCCCTCTCGCTTTGCAAGAGGTAGTCGAGTTAGTCTATTGTAGCAAAAAGAAAAAGAAAACAAAACCAAGAGCCTCGCGGCGTCTTAAAACACTAACACCTCCCGGTAGAACCTTGTGTGATCTGGAACCCACGAAAGCTGACTGGGCCATGCGTGGAAGTTATTCCACACATCTTAAGGGCGCCCACTTGGGGATGCTGCTTTGAGGTGCGGCCGGGGGGGGGGCTGGACCTCCTGCTCCTTCTGATCAAAATTTCAGATAAGGGAAGGCAAACGGTGTTGACGTTGCCTTTGGTGCCAAGCGCATCCAGAGGGATTTATTACATCAGCTTGCACACGAATATGGTGGTGAGCCTAGGAGTGCTTCAAGATGGAAGGGTTAGCAATGAGAAGCCAATGTGCAGCTATCTCACCTTTCCCCCTTTTAACGGGGTTTCTGCAAGAAGAAAAAGGTCAGAAGAAGCAATGGAAAACCGGAAGATGTCCTCATCTGCCCCTCCCCCACACACAATAAAATCCCATAAATGATGCAGGTGATCGCAGGTTGAAAAGAAAAAGAGTCTAGCAGCCAGTGTGGCGTAGCACTTAGAATGCTGGACTTCGACTCAGGAGACCTGGTTTCTAGTCCCCTCTCAGCCATGAATGTCACGGGGTGACTTTTGGCCAGTCACTGCCTCTTAGCCTAGCCTACCTCACAGGGTTGTTACTGTGATGATAAAACAGAGAGGAGGAGATCCTTGTAAGCTGCCTTGGGTTTCTTGCAAGAGGAAGAAAGGTGGATTGGTTTATTTATTCATTTATTTATTACAAACATTTATATCCCATCCTTCCGACAAGCACTCAGGATGGCTTACACAATATAAAATTACAATGATACCATAATAAAACCACAATTATTAAAACAAATATTATAATCTAATAATTTGGAAGCAACAACAGACTTGAACCCTTCCATGGGAGGGGTCTTGGCATTATCCATGACAGGACATTGTACAACTGTTCCATCTTTTCTTAACAGATTTGCTGCAGTGCAACCTGCTCTGTGTATATTTATTAAAATAGGATTTCCTTTAAATAAGTATGATTATAATCACAGTCTTAGTGGGTGATGTGGCATTCATGGCCTACTTGCGGACTTCCCATTGGGACATCTGATTAGACACTCAAGGAAAAAAAATGTTGGACCAGGTCCTACACAGGATAGCTACAATACTTGTGCCTCTCCTTTGGATGGACGCCAGCTGCTTTTTGGTACAGGATGTCCCTAGAACTTGTCAATTCTTCTTGAGCAACATAATACTGTCTCCATCTAGCAAAACAGTTCCTTGACGTTTGGAACATTTTTACAACTTTATGGGCTACAGTGAGACAAAAAATACAAATGTATATGTCTGTGTGAAAATAACCCAGGGAAATGCAATTTCGAATGCCTCTGCATTGGAGTAGAAGCGACAGAAACTGAATTCTCTCCTTTACAGTTGTTTCCTCACTATGTACTATTGCTGCAATCCCATTGGGAATGTAAGTTGCATCAGACTTCACATTGGTCTGTATGAATCATTTCATTTAATATTAAGAATTGTCGTAAGAACAGAAGAAAATCCAACACTGGACCATCCAGTCATACACCGTGTACACATGGTGGCCGACCAGCTGCTCGCATCCAGGTTGGTGGCCATCATCACTTGTGGCAGCAAATTCCACAGTTAAAGTGTGCACTGTGTGAAGAAATACTTCCTTTTATTTGTCGTAAACCCCTCACCAAGCAGCTTCAGGAGATGACCCTGGGTTCAAGTGTTATGGGAGAGGGAAAAAAGCCGCTCCTTACAGGTGAACTGCTCTAGCCCCCTGCTAATTTTGTTGCCCCTTTTCCAACTCAATGGTGTCCTTTTTCAGGTAAGGTGACCGGAAATGAACACAATATTCCAAGTGTGGTCACACCAAGGATTTATATAAGGGAAGTAAGATTTTGACAATTCTGTTTTCTGTTCCATTCCTGATGATGCCTAGCATGGAATTTGCCTTCTTCACAGCAGCTGAACACGGTGCTGACATTTTCATCGAGCTGTCCACTTAATTACATTTAGAGCAAATCCACTGAAATCAATGGGACTTAAGGCATGGTTAATCAAAGTCTGATTGATTTCGGTAGGTCCAGCTCTATGTATGATTAAGTTTGAGCTATTATACAATAATAATGCATTGTTAATAATCACGTGGTGCTGGAGAGGACTCCTGCGAGTCCCTTGGACTGCAAGGCGATCAAACCGGTCAGTCCTAGAGGAGAGCAACCCTGACTGCTCTTTAGAAGGCCAGATACTGAAGATGAAACTCAAATACTTTGGCCACCTAATGAGAAGGAAGGACTCCCTGGAGAAGAACCTAATGCTGGGAACAATAGATGGCAAAAGAAGAAGGGGCCGGCAGAGGATGAGGTGGATAGATGGAATCACTGAAACTGTGGGTGTGAGTTTAGGTGGACTCTGGGGGATGGTGGAGGACAGGAAGTCCTGGAGGAATGTTGTCCATGGGTTGTGATTGGTCGGACGCAACTTTGCAACTAACAACAACAATCACGTAACTTTCTCAACAATAAAAGTCTTCTGCCTCATTGTGCCTTATAATCCCACCCTGATGCGAAAGGAAAGTATGGGCTGATGGGGGAAGTGTTGAATTTCTGCCTGTCATACAGTTGTTAAAAGCACAGGGGTCTGATAAGGAGGAAGAGGGAGCAACTTAGCAGGGCCGAGTGGCCACAGGGCAAACATGGGAGCTAAGTTAATCTGTGGCTTACCTCTGATTGAAGTAGTTCAGCCCTACATGCCTAAGGGCAGGCCTCAGTGTAGCAAAACCTGGTTTGCCAGTGCAAGGCTCTAACCCCAAAGGAGGCACCTCTTTCAGCCAGAGGGCTGAGGTCAGCTTCAGAGAAGCTTTTATGGGCTTAAATCCCAGTGGTGGACAAGGCCTAAGGCAATGAGGGCAGGGCCAAATCAAAAGGACAGGGTCGAAAGTACAGCAAAGAACCAGCATATTGGAATTGTGAGCCCTTACTGCACTCACTAAACTTTAGGAGAGACCCCAAACCCCTTGAGAAAGTGCGGGGGTGGTGTGGGAGGATTGCACAAAAGCCAAGAAAACACCAAACAGTCGGTGGCTGGAGGAAAGGGGAGGGGCTGAGGAGGGGGGCATGGCACCGTAGGCCACCAGCACCAGCCTTGCTCTGCTACGTAGCATGAACAGCAGTGTCTACCGGCCTCAGTGTGAACCTTCCTCAGCCTGGAGCCTCTCAGCTGTTTTAGGCTACCTCTTTGATAACTCTCAGCTGGCTCTGTGCCATTCAGAGCTTCCCCTTTGTCTGCAGATCAAGCTGCTATGAAAGGCAAAGAGCAAGCTCGGCTGGCTGGACTTTGGTATCATCATCATCAGGCCTAATGCTAGAGTGCTCCTGAAAGCTGCATATCTTGTCCAGGCAGCCAAGCCAGGCTAACTGAGGGGGGGGGGGTGTTCCTGCCTGTGCTTTAGTGCAGGCAGATGCACTCAGGGAAAAAGGAAGCAGTGCTCTCCAGGTCAGACATGACATGCCACGGGCTTTCTCCTGCATGCACAGCTAGTTTTCCCTTGCAGACTGCACAACCCACTATTTCCTGTAGCACTTGCCTGGAAAGGCTGAAAAGTGGGGCAGGCTTTGCACAAGCAACTATCACAGCTTGCACCGGCAAATACTTCTGCATGGAAGCACCTTATTTTAACATTAAACCTGATACCATTTGTTAAGGCAATTTCCTAGAGAGGGTGCTTGCCTTTAGCAACTTGCATGTGCTCCAGTGACCCCAGTCTTGGAAAAAATGTCCTTTTGCAAACACTTTATTGACAAGATAATTTTTGCGTTGTTGGTGCTTCTGAGAAAATGCCTACCAAATTAATATATAAATAAGATTCTATTGCAAAAGCACATGTATCATTTATGTCGCTGTGTAAAGAATAATAAGAGTCTACCCCTACATATCTACACCATCCTTCATTTTTTAAAAAATTAAGAGGTGAAATCTACCTAAGCCATGAGGCTGATGTGTGGAATGAAAACCTATCAAGAGCACTCAGTACTTCGTTATAGCCTGAAGTCTGACCAAAGGACACAAGTCAAGGTCCCTCTTGGAAAGAGGACGTGTTTGGCAGTTCATAAACCATGAAGAACTGGTGGGGGTGGGGGGGAGGCAGAAATGGAGGTCATGGAGTGTGATTTGGTCTGTATTATGATAAGTATTATGATAAGTATGTATTATGATAAGTATGATAAGACTGAGAAGTATTATGATACTTCTCAGTCCTTTAACAAGTAACTACTGGGCGGAAATTAAGTATAAGTGACTAAATCCCAGGCAAAAGGATACCACATTTTCAGTGTACAAATCTGTGAGATGACCTCACTTAAGTATGCTGTGTACAGTGGAGAAAAGTGCAGCTAACATGATCAAGGGGCTGCAGCGACCCCCCTGCGAGGGAAGGGTACAAGAACTGGCTTTC